TTTCCTAAAAAGTTGGTGGGAGTATAGATTGGAACTGAGTGTAAAATTGGAAGGCAATCTGGCAAAATCTATATCAAAAGCCTTAAAATATGCATATCCTTTAACGAGAAATTCCAAGTGCGGGAAGGAGGGGCATATGCAAGATAACCATTAAAATAGACAATGGGACTTTTCTGAAAGACTGCAGGCAAGAAACCCAAATATACCATCCCTCCCACCTGTTCCCAGGCCTAGAGTCTGAAGGCCACACTGGCCATGGTTGAGAGTCCTAAAGAAAGCGGATTTAGCGTGCTCAGCTGGAGTTCCCTGAGTTCGGCCCTCGGGACCTTACAAAGCAAAGTTGGGTGCCATTTCACAAAAATAAAGTTCCAAGAACTGTAATATCCAAGTAACAGGCATGTCCCCTCATGTGGCTCCGCAGATCCTACAGATCTTGTAAGAGCTCCCAATAATCAGCCCTTCAGACGTAGGGTCATGATGACAGAGACCTAAAGTCAGTCAGTCAAGTGCTCAGTGCCGCAGTGATCTGACTTTTCATTAGACCAAAAATGACTTGGATATTTAAAACTGATAAACTCAACTAGCCTGTGTGTTGGGGGCGGCTTTTTCTTCAACGGCAAAGTTACAAAGACAGCACCGAGTTCCCGGACACCCTTCACTCAGTGTCCCCAATGTTAAGAGCTTGCATGATTAGGGTATATTCGTCACAACTAAGGAACCAACACTGATTGGTGGTACATGACCATCAACCAATCTGCACGGTTTATTCACATTCCACTAGCTTTTCCCCCATGTCCTTTGGGTTCCAGGAACTTGTCCAGGATAGCATGTTACCCATTCAGTCTCTGGCGTCTCCCTAGCCTCCTCAGGTCTGTAACAGTTTTCCAGACTTTCCTTGCCTTTGATGACCTTGACAGCTTTGAAGAGTGCTATTCAGGTATTTTGTAGAGTGCCCTCCCCACCCCCGCCTCGGGGACAAAACTATTGTCTGACGTTTTTCCTGTGATTCGGCAAGGGTTATGGACGTGGGGGGCTAGGTGGGGAGACCACAGAGATGAACTGTCAGTTCCAAGACATCATATCAAAGGTGCTTGCTGGCAACCTCTCATCATGGAAGTCAGCTTTGATCACTTGGCCAAGGTGGTGGGTGCCAGGTTTTCCCACAATAGACCTCCTCTTCTGCTCCCTTCCACACCCACTCTGTGGAAGCAAGTCATTGAGTGCAGCCACTTGGGAGCGGGGAGTTAAGCTCCAACTCCTGGAGGGGAGGAGTAGCTACCGAGATTGTTTGGAATTCTTTTATACAGGAGATTTGTCTCTATATCCATTTACTTATTCCATCATTTATTTACATCAGTGTGGACTCACAGATATTTACTTTATGTTTTGGGTCATAACCCAACAGTTATTTATTTTGCTTCTCAAATTGTCCCAGTTTTGGCCACTGGGAACAATTTCAGGAAGGCTCCTGTGTCCCTTCACCGTGCCCCCATTGTTTTGTTTTTGAATACCTCCTTACTTTCTCCATATTTTTACCAGCGAAAATGTCTTACTAAGAAAAGGGCTGTTACAGGTGAAATTGTCTGTGTCCCCTCCCACCAAGTTTCATGTGGAAGTCCTGGCCACCAGTACCACTGGAGGTCAAATTCGTTAAAATGAGATCATACTGGAGGAGGACAGGCCCCTCTGCCAATTTGACTAGCGTGCTTTATACAAAGGGGAAATCTGGGTACGGACAGCACCACGTGACAACGAAGGCAGGGATCGAGGTGATGCTTCTACAACCCGAAGAATGCCAGTGACCGCCAGACGCTAGGCCTGGAACAGATTCTCCCTCAGACTCAGAAGGAATCAACCTTGCTGACACCTGGATCTCTGACATCCGGCCTCCAGAACTGTGAGAAAATAAACTTCTGTTAAATCACTCTCAGTGCTGGGGGCGCCTGGGTGGCTCAGTCAGTTAAGCATCTGCCTTTGGCTCAGGTCATGATCTCAGGGTCCTGGGATTGAGCCCCCGCATTGGGCTCCCTGCTCATGGGGGAGTCTGCTTCTCCCTTTCCCTTTGCTCTGCCCCTTGCTCATGCTCTCTCTCTCTTTCTCTCAAATAAATAAAAATCTTTAAAAACAATTTTTTTTTAATTATTAAAAAAAAAAGTCACTCAGTTCTTAGTTATGTTATACCCAATGTCACTGAGCTCTGCATTTCAATCACGAACAATTCACAGTTGGGGTGTCAAAAGAAGCAGGTACAGAGGGACAGCCTAGCAAACATCCAAAAGGGTACACTGGAACACGGCGCCCGGAGTCCACAAGCTACAGTACCGAGCATTGTATTTGGCCATGAACAACGTCTGGGGCAGTGTTTTCAGATGCCTCGTTTTCCCCGCTGTTTTCGGCCACCTGCAGCTCGGGGCAGAGCTACTTGCCAGGAACACCTGCAAGCACTAGCACTAACCACCCATCTAGTGTAATCACCATCTTCAGCATGCTAAGTACCAGCCCCGCCAACGCCAAGCACTTCCCAGGTGCCCCACACAGCAATTCTGCGAGGGGCTGACAAGTGATGCCCCGCCTCACGGCACACCTGCCAGGTATTGTCAAGCCGGCATTTTTGGTCCCTATTTAATGACATGCTTTGTCCCACGTCCACCCTCCCTAAGTCCCATCAACAAAGTGGCCCCGGGGACTTAGAAGTGAACTACATACCACACTTCACTGTGAGCTATCCAAACACTGTATGGTCATCCAGTATTTAGGATCTTTAGCACAAACGCACACACTAGAGGATCCTGGAGCAAAATCTAAGCTCTGTGAGGAAGGGACAGTCATCCCCAGGACAGAGAAAGTGCCCCGTCCTCAGACTGAAGACACGGAAGAGAGAGGCTAGCTAGAATCTGATACGCCGTCTCACTCCACATCCAGTGACCTTTACAGAGGTGAAATCTGAGCGCCCACATGGATAGATAAACTTTTTTTTTTCCTTCAGTCACCTGAGAGAGAAGGAACTGGCGGTGACAGAGCAGGTTCTGAAGTGGTCGACTGGAAATTATTTTCATCACAAAAGCTCTGGTTTGTCTGCATTTTTATGCCTATATTAAAAAATCAAATGAAGTCATTAAGCTTAGGCCAGCTCGGAAAGCCTCTGCCTGAGTCTGCAACCCCCAGAGCTCTGCCATAATCCTTCAAATTATTAAATAATTACTGCGTTTCCCTTGGGGTCACATTTGGCAACAAAATACTGTCTAAATGAACCAATGGTATGACCCAGTGAATAACAGTTATGTTCTTAACGTCCTAGGAACAAAAGGCTATGAAATACTTCCAAGATACAAACTGTGGAGGAAAGTGAGGGTTTTTTGTGGGGTCTGGGGGGGGGGGATGGAGAATGACAAAGGAACCGGAGAATCTGGGGAAAATTCTAATAATGAGGGTCATCGCCTCCCCCATCAACCTCGGAGATCAGTAATTCTCCCATCCCAGGTCCCTTCCATCTCAGGCATAGCTACAGCCACAAGGAGAAAACCAAGCATATGGCTCTGTCCTTCTGGACATTTCTACAATGTTGGCTGGGTTGCTCTGGAAAATCCCATTTTATCTCCTACAGCTATATGACCTTAAGTTGTCATTTCCAATACAGTATGCTTGCGCTGATTTTTATGAACACAGACAAAAGCTGCTACAACCTTTTTTTTTCTCCCCCAAATCTTTCAAACCAACTGTAGTTGCTATGTAGGGTTATTTGTTTCTAAGGCAACAGCGTATATCTAAGTACTAATGGCCTGTCCTTTTGCCAGGCAACAAGCAGCCTTGTGATGCAACTGCACCTGTCTCGGCTACGCGTTACTATGGAGATGCTCCAGTTGCTATGGCTACCATCACGCTAATCGCCTAGCAAAGGCAGACATACAGCAGTCTTCCCCAAGAGCCCAGCTGTTCCTCCACGTCTCTTGCAGAAGACTGATTGTCTAGGGCCTGTGATGGAATGCTTCTCAACTAAGATGCACAAGAACTTCATTAATGAGGTTTCAGAGGATCACTTGCAGATCCCCTCTGCAGAGCAAACACCAGACAAGGGAAAGAATCTGCAAAGAAGTGGACTATAAAATCACTGAAATCTACGAATCCACACCATCCCTCACTGACATAAACTTGTAGCCCTTCCTGAAAGCCTTCCTGAAGGACAAAATAAGGTCTCTCAACTGGGTGGTTACAATAGAAACACTTCTTTACATTTAAAAAAGAAAAAAAAAAATTTTCCAGGAGTGAGGAATATATTTACAACCCTAGCACTATGTGAGATAAAATCAATTTTAAAATTTGTATCTCTGTCATGTGGCTATTTTTAACACCTTTATTTTATTTTATTTATTTATTTATCTATCTATCTATCTATTTTTAGGGACAGGCTTCCTACTCTCCCTTTCAATTACATCTTTGTAAAAATGGCACCGTGACCTCACGGTCTCAACCCAAATGGGCATGTGAGGGGAAATGAAAGTCTCCATTGTTCTCTGCTGTTCTCCTTGAAGAGGCAAACACCAAGTAACCACAACAAAATGATCACTCTGGAGCACCGTCTACATGGAGACCAGAATGACAACAATCAAGTGAGCCCTTCAGCGAACACCTGTAGACGCTCTCAGTCAGAGGCTGGGAAGACCGAAGCGCTTACCTGACTCATTCCTGTACTTCTATCCCAACAAACCGTGACGCATGGAGATGTTAAAGCTGTCAACTTTTCTTGGTAAATGTTTCTACCCAGGAAGACAGTATTTCACCCACTGTGAAGCCTTCTAAGCACGTTCCTCCGAAGCACCAAGAAGCGGTAAGGTTTGCAGGAAATACAACAGTGGGTATGCCTCCAATAATACTTCATTTCTTTCTCATTTACCTAGTTATTTTTCATATCATACAGCCTATTAAATTAGTTTCAGTGCCTGTCTCCACCAAAATAATGCGACTTCAGTAGACCAAAAAAAAAAGAAGTCTGAATTGCTTACCTTTGATATGCCTGAGGAGAGGCAGGAGGTGTATTGAACACGTGTGAGTATGGGTGGTAAGGTGTCTTTTTCAAAGCCTGAATTAGATTTTGTCTATACTCTGGGTCTATGCACCACAATGACCCTTTCCCAATGCTCTGCAAAGAAAATGAAAACATAAAAATGATTAATAAAGCAACATTCAGTATTCTGCAGTAAGTAGATGAATAGCAATTACCACAGTTACTTATTTTTAAAAGCCTCTCACTTACTTGTCACTATTGGCCAGCTAGAAATATGTAATATGGGACACAGACCGGACGGCACCATAAAATGCACTTCGGTCTTACCTGGATTAAGTGTGGCAGACGAAATGAGCCTGCTATTCCCAGGGGATGCTGGTACAATAATATTGTAATTTTCATAGGCTGACGGCCCCCAAACTTAGATTCCTTTATTATTTTTCAGTATCGACTCTGAAGGACATATGTATCCCCCCTTCTAAAAAACGCATTTTAAATTTGTCAGATTTCAAATGTGGAAAGAAAAAGAGGGCGGGGTACCCCCAAACTCCCGTTGCTGCTGTAAAACATTCAAGAGTTGTGTTTTTAAACCATCTTATTTCGGCACCACTTCGCAAAAAAACGGAAAGTAATCCACTTGTTTTTTCCTACTTACTCACAAAGAACGACATTTAAGCTTCAAATGGAATTCTGTAATTACCTTCCCCAAGAAACAAAAGAAATCAGGCAGCAGCGGGGGTGGGGGGGGGTGGAGGGACCTAAGCCAGAAGCCAGGATTTATTTTCTGGATGCGGAAGTTCACAGCATTCCGCCCCAGGCCTAAAGGAGTTGGATCTTTAAAGTCAAACTTAAAAATGCAAATGTTCTAAAACTGGTTCCATGGAAAGAGTTGCTTCTGAGGCCCACTTTTGGTCTGTGGACCACATTTTTATTAAAAAAAAAAAAAGTCAGTCCTTCCTGTGAGGCCCACTGACCTGGCAGCAGGCCAATGGGCAGTCACTATTCTGCCCGCACGCTTTCAAGTGACCGAATGTACCCAAGCTGTTTGATAAGGTCGTTTGTAAATATTTACTGATTTGGAGAGAAAAGAAGTCAAATTACATAAACCCGCACCCACCCATGCTTGCAGCCAAGGGACTGGCTCTCTTCTTTTCAGAACTATTGTAAGACAGGAATATTGAGAAAGCAAACAAAACCGTTTAACTCTTGGGGGGGGTAAAATAAACTCCCAAGAAAATCCCTTAGAAGGAAAACAAAACAAAAAAATAAGTAAGTTATTCCTAAAATCTTTAAAGAGGCTTTTAAAAATTTGTATTTCAGTCATGAGTTCACCCAGTAGTTTACTTACAAACTGATTCACAGAACCCATTAACATTCTTCACTGTCACAACATCAGTGAGTGCCAGAACCCAAATTAACTCTTTCTGGTGCCCTGAGTAGAGAGAACTGCTCCAAAAGCCAAGATCAGTGTCTGGGGCCTCTGATGCACCCCAGCCTCCACCCCCGGGGCGCACAGGCCTGAGCCCAAACACAGCTCCCAGTCAGGCCGACCTGCCTAAGCAGAACACCAACGTTCCAGTTTAACCATCTGGATGTGTAAAGACGTGAAAAATGTCAACTTTGAAAAATTCAATGTCCTTATGTGGCCTTTCCTTTCATGCATACATTTTCAAGCCCGGAATAGTTGAGGGGCACCGATGAGACACTCCCAGTAAAGCAGGCAGGCCACCGAATGAGCTGCGGGGACCCACTGGTTCTTTCCTTTGGGAAACAGATGCAAAGCACACTTTCTAGAAGAGGTGTGGGGGAGGACGGGGGAGACCAGCAACGACCAAATTCAGGTAACGTAAAACAAACCACAAAAGCTGGTAACTCCTTGGTGTGTGCGTGTTGCGGCGGGGGGGTCCTAGCCTGACTCCACCAAAGGTTCCCCGTGGAGCCTTTCAGATCTACTTGAACACAAGGCCCCTAACCAGCTACCTGGAGGGCCAGGGCCCACAAGCCACCCAAACATTTCTGCAAGATTATCTCAGTTCTGGGAACCTAAGGGCTTTGTTTTCAAGGTGGCTTTCAGGGTGGGGCTGTTTAATCTTACAGGGAATAAAAATATGACAAAGACATGAAGGACAATTGACCCTCTTAGGCAAATAACAGTAAGACAAGAATGTGGTTTCTCCTAATCCTGGCCTAAGTATCTTTTTTATTATACTACATCACTATTTACGAACTAAGTGGAAAAAACCCCACAATTGGGGGGATGGGTTGGTAACCGATGCAGGTGCAAGAGGCAGGGGTGGGGATTACAGTAAGAACCAGGAATTCTGGAGCCATCGAGATGTTTCCTGTGTGGTCCTGGGCAAATCATGGTCCCCAGAAAGTCTTGGCTTCCTCGTTGGCAAAATAAAGACCCCCTAAGGGATGGGTGTGGGGCCCCAGCAAAGGCATGATGTCACAGGCCTACCCATACTCAAGAAATGGTGGATCAAGTCATGAACCTCTCCTTTCTGACAGAAGAAAGGGAGCAAAGCTGGCTATCCAATGCCTTTCACTAAATCAAATCTGAGGGGCGCCTGGGTGGCTCAGTCAGTTAAGTGTCTGACGGTTAAGTGTCTGACTCTTGATTTCAGCTCAGGTCATGATCTTGGGGTTGTGGGATGGAGTTCAGCGTAGGGCTCATGTGCTGGGCGTGGTATCTGCTTGGAATTCTCTCTCTCCCTCTCTCTCTGCCCCACCCCCTAAAAAATAAAACAAAATCTTTAAAAAACCAATCAATCAATCAAATCTGATTTTCCCAAGGCCGTCCATCATAAAAGAAACACCAAGTTTGGAGAGTGACAGTGGGAGGAGCCTCCAGCAAACTCACAGGTACTGTTGGTCCTGGGGAGCTTTTCTACTTTCTACGACGCCCGCTTTATTTCCACGCGTACCCCCGTCCCCCCCCCGCGCCCAGCTCACTCCATGTGCTCGCCACCATAACTTCTCCCGTGCCACTTCCAACTCACAGCAGCCTCGCCGCTCGCTGCTCCAAGTTTTCTTTCGCCCAGGCCTTCACGCAGTGATCATCAAGCCGAGGTTCAATTTCAAACTGGTCAGCACATATTTACAATAGCCATTCACTGCAGACATTTGCCCAGGCTTCGGGTCATAATGATTCCCACCTTGATCAGTTCTGCATTTCATCGGGAGAGAGATCTGGAACTGCTGATAGGTTTTTGCAGACCAGACACGAATTTCAAAATCTCATACTTAGGGGCGCCTGGGTGGCTCAATCGGTTAGGCGGCTGCCTTTGGCTCAGGTCATGATCCCAGAGTCCTGGGATCGAGTCCCGCCTCGGGCTCCCTGCTCAGCAGGAAGTCTGCTTCTCCCTCTCCCTCTGCCCCCACCCCGCTTGCACTCTCTCTCAAATAAATAAAATCT